AGCATTATTCGTAACAGTCAGGATGTGGTGACAACCTACATGTGTATCTACAGATGAATGCATAAAGAAAATATATGCATACAGTGGAGTATTGATCAGCCTTAAAAAGGAAGGAAATCCTGCCATATGCCACAACAGGGAACAAACTTGAGGACGTTACACTAACTGAAATAAGCTAGTCACAAAAGAACAAATACTACATGACTGTACTTATATGAGGTATCTAAAATAGTCAAACTTAGAAAAGCAGTGAGTAAAAAGGTTGTTGCTAGGTTCTAGAGATAGTAAGAAACGGGAGTTGCCATTCAATGAGTATATGAATAAGTTATGCAAGATGAATAAGTTCTATAGATTTGCTAACATTGTGCTTATAATTAACAATACTATATTTTGTTAAGGAGGTGTATCTTATGTTAAATATTATGGCAATTAATAAAAGAAAAGATGAGCCTGGAGAACTTGTTGCAGCAAGTAAAGAACATCTGGAAAAATGATGGAGATATGATCAAATGATACAGGAGCCAACTTGAAGGGGCTCCCACCGATTGTATCCACTGACGGGGATAATTTGAGCATCAAAATAAATAGTGATAATGATGGATCACATAACTCATTGAATAAAATGGAAACCAATGAGTTTGTACTAACAAATAAGCAAGGAAAAACTGAAAGTGCTTTCCTAAAGTTGAATGCCAACTTATAAATGTAGAGGGAAAATACAGTAAGAATTGATTCAGGCAAGGATCATCAACAGCTAAATCCTCTTAGTGAAAGCTGATGGATTAGGATATCTGCTTAGTCTCAAAACGTCTCTTACAGATGCTTGTTAACTACAAAGGTAAAATAGTAGTCTTACAGTGACGACATGGCAGACACCATCTTAAACCATCCAAATTCATGTCACTAGTAATAGGGCAAACTCTGTGTCTGCTCATGTTGAGGAGACACATCTTTTTCGTAGTGTTTCTGTCAAAAATGCATACCCGAGTCTAATCATGAGCAAACATCAGACAAATCTATAAGTGTCCCGAGGGACATTCTACAAAATAACTGGCCCAGGCTCTAAATATGTCAAGGTTATAAAAGACAATGAGTGACAGCCCAAGGAACTATTCCAGATTAAAGGAGGCTAAAGACCTACGACAACTTCATGCAATGTGTGATCCTGGATTAGACATGAACCAGAAGTGTCTCTTCTATAAAGGACAGCATTGGGATAATTGATGACATGTGAATAAGGTCTATAGATTAGATTATAATACTGTATTAGTGTTATTTTCTAATTTTGATACCATGGTGATATTAGAGAATGACTTTGTTCTTAGAGAATACTTAGGGATAAAAGAGAATTGTGTCTGCAGCTTATTCTGAAATGGTTCAGACAAAATAATATTGTATATGTATATATACTGAGAGAGAATATAGCAAATGTGGTTAAATGTGAAGGGTTGTAAAATCTGGATGAAACATAACAAGATTTATCTATACTATTTCAAAATAAAGAAATACCAAAAACTAGAAGTGGTAAAATTTTCTTTACCAGATTTTCTGTAATATAGCTTCATGTGTATATTTTTGGAGAAATAACATATATAATCTTAACAGTTGTGCCATACACTTAGACAGGGTACTTTATTATCTTTTTTTAAGAAATGTGAGACAATAATTATGGTAGTTGTTTTTGGACTTGATCTGAGGTGTAACAGCATCGTAATGGCTTATATTTTTACAATAATTCCAGCCAACATAGATATTTCAAGGGGACAGTCTCTTAGAGTGTGATACAGAGACCAGTGGAGCTGCATTATACGGTCTTATTTCCTACAATTCTGGGTCTCACACCTGGCTTCATTACCTTTCACATTTCAAGTTACTGCAAGACGTATAACTCATAACAATCCAGATTTAAAAATATATTCTCAATGTACTCTCCAGAGAGAGAGAGAGGAGAAAGTGGCCCCCATGGGGAATGGTCACACTGCAACCCCTTTTCCCCTGTCTCCCTCATTTTGGGATTTGGGGCACACGTACACACATGCCCAGTGTGTTTCTCAAGCCTCTGGGTCCAGAACTCTGTGAAGTTGTGCATATGGGATCTGTGTGACTTAGCCATCAGGCCACAGAATTTGGTCCCTAAGTAGCATTCTTAGAAGGAGGGCGTGGGACCAGCAGTTAGTGTAATGGCTATGTCACTGGACTCCCGCTTAGTTGACCGCGGTTCAAGTCCTGGACCCAGTGGCTTAAACTCACGCCGGGCGTGTGTGCGTGCTTGCCCAAGATCCTGAGAGGAGAGTGGAGGAGAAGGGATTGTGGTGTGACCATCCCCCCGGGGGGTGATTTCTCTCTTTCTAGCTCTCTGTCTCTCTCTGTCTTTCTGGTGAGCGCCCACGCCCTATAGCAAAAACAAACAAACAAACAAAACAAAATCAAACCAAAAAAACCTCTCCAGAAAAAGAAAAAAAAATAAAAAAAAGGAGGGTGTACATATTCAAGCAAAAAAAATTTTGTATAACTTTAGAGACACTTGGTAGTTAATGCTCAAAGCTATCTTGGGATGAAGTAAATAAATACGGGCCCAGATGTGGTGATGTGTACTGCTAAGATACTGCTTCATAGACCAGAAGCACATGGCAAGCCCAGTTTGATTCACTCCAACCTAAAGCCTAGGTGTGGTGGTGGTAGTGCCTGGAATCCAAGTGTCTTGGGAGGCTAAGGTGGGAGGATTGGGAGCTTGAAGCTGTCTTGGGCAACATAGCAAAATCCTGACAGAAAAGAGCTGGATGTGGTGGCTCATGGCTGTAGTTCCAGCCGGGAAGCTGAAGCAGGAGTATTGTGACAGATTCTATCTAAAATGGGATGCTTGGGTTCTCATCCTTGGTTGACCTGAATATACTAGGAATGTCCATGATCATGTCTAACGGGGAGGCTGGGGAGAGGACTACACCATGACAAGACTCTGTCAAGAATCTCTGTCTCTCTCTCATGAATGAAAGAAAATAAATGAAAAGTTACCTCCTTGTTTAAGAAAAATAAAATATGGAAATATGTCTCAAAAAATCATAAATTGTGAACAGTACTATATCTAGAGGGTGTGAAAAGGAGGGGAAAATTCAAGATAAGGAGACTAATTCAAGTCTTTAAAATTGTACTTTGAATAGAGATTATATTTATCCAATATCAAGTTAAGATAAAAAAGGTATAACATGGAAAGTCTCCTTGTTCTGCCTCCCAGGCATTTGCTTTTACTCCTCAGAGGCAACCAGAATTAACTTTTTCTTGCATAACTCTAAATATTAGGTTGTCAGAAAGTCATGATGTCTTTTTCAATTTTTGATATAAGATGCATGTGCTTGCTGGAGAGACAGAGACAGAGAACAAGAAGTCAACCCCCCAGGGGATATCCTCGGGATTCTGGGCACATATGCACATGTGCCCTGCTGAGTTTCAAGTCATGGGGTCTGGTGGGACTTGAACTGCGGTGGGCCGTGTGGGTATCCAGTGACATAACCATTACATCATCTGCTGGTCCCATGATGTGTTTTTCTATGCAAAAATGTGTCCTGACTTTCCAGGAGATCCAACAGATGAATGTAAAAGCAAGTACATCTTTTCTCTACACAAAAAGGTACCCCACTTTTATTACTTTTAATGTAAATAAACCAACAACATTGGTGTTTTATTTATTTATTTATTTAATTTTTACTTTTTTTTTTTTGTAGAGGTTTTTTTTCCTATAGGGTGAGTGTGCTCTCCAGAAAGAGAGAGAAAGAGAGACAGAAAGCGAGAAATCACCCCCCAGGGGAGATGGCCACACCACAATCCCTTCTCCTCCATTCTCCTCTCAGGATCTTGGGCACGCACGCACACGCATCCAGCCTGAGTTTAAGCCACTGAGTCCAGGACTCGAACTGCAGTCGACTACATGGGAGTCCAGTGACATAGCCATTACGTTAACTGCTGGTCCCCCAACATTGGTATTTATTTTTAAAAAGAAAGATGGTGAGAAGAAAATACACATAAAAATAAACGGTAGTTTTCATGTGCTAGTCTTGACAGGCATTCTAAAGAACATAGATAAATGGAACTAGAGTTATGTCCTGTACCTAGAATTAATTTGTTTATTTCTAAAAATTTGCTTGAATGTAGGATATGTTTAGGGATTGAGAATAGTCCAAACTTACTGTAATAAGTACTTCTGGTTTAAAAGAATGTCTCAGTTTCCTTTCAGCCTAAATAGAATTAAGGAACATATATATATATATGTATATATACATATATATATATATGTTCCTTAATATATATATGTGTGTGTGTGTGTGTGTGTGTGTGTGTATTGGTTGTGTAAAATGTTTTTTAAAGTTTATGACTTTGATGAGTGGGAAAGACAAAGTGGGAGAGACATCACCCCCAACAGGGTCCTGATGTTGAGATCCACCTCCAGCTTGAGCCAGTCTCCACGCATGGGCATATGCATGTCCAGCATACTCGGAGATTCCCAGATGTGAACTCAGAACCCTCCCATGTGGGTCAGTCCTTCAGAGCATCATATTTTACTACTTGTGCAACCATCTAGCCCTTTCTTAACATTTTGTGTAAAACAAATTCATAAGAATTGTTGTAATTGTGGAGTTTTTTATAAATGGAGCACATTTATAAAAAAAATGAATAACAGTACATACAGACAATAAGATACTATTCAGCCTTAAGAAGGGAGGAAAGTTTTGATACATGGTGCATGTATCAAAGCTCGAAGACATTCTGTTAGGTGAAATAAGCCAGTTACAAAAGGACCAATACTACCTTACACTTACGAGGTTCCTAGAGTAGTCAAATTTGTAGAATAAAAGCAGAATGGTGATCACCAGAGGCAGGATGAAGATGGAATGGGAAGTTACTGTTAAGAAAAAAAATGACATTTCAGCTTAAATCAAGATAGCTTATTGAAAATGTAATATAAAAATATTTGTGTATCTACTATAAGATGATATATTATTCTACAGGTAGTATCTTCAGGAAGGCATGCTGGACCTGTTAAAATAACAAATGGAAAGAAAAGGTAAGTACTTAAATTTATATTTTCAGGATTTGTCAAAAAATTTTCCAAGTCTGGGCTGAACTACATTTTGCTTACCTCAGAAAACTAGATGGGCCTCACCTTCACACACTCTGGGGAGTCATTTCCCTATCTACTCATGTTAATCATTTTAGTTTTTAACTATCTTTATAATCTTCATAATACCCTATATAAATCTATTTATGTGGTTAGACAAGCTTTCTTATGCAACCTTTGCCAGAAAGGAAATGACTACTTACTAATATATTTTGGGAAAAAAGATTTATATTATTTGCAAGAATATTAATGAGATTGTTTTCTAGGACTCAGTTAAGAAAAATATCACGTTTTAACGTAGATTCTGGCCATCCCATCCATTCTGATTCAGAAAGTCAGGTAAGATTAAACTGAATAGATTCAATATACACTATTTTAATTAGTCTTCAGATAAAAGTAGTAGGAATAAAATTCAAAGGTAAAATATTAATTTCCCTAAATATGAAGGCTGTTGTTTTCGGGACCAGCAGTTAGCGTAATGGCTATGTTGCTGAACTCCCATGTAGTCTACCACGATTCGAGTCCCAGACTTGGTGGCTTAAACTCACGCCGGGCGCGTGTGCGTGAATGCCCAAAATCCCAAGAGGAGAATGGAGGAGAAGGGATTGCGGCATGGCCATCCCCCCCTGGAGGGTGATTTCTGGCTTTCTATCTCTCTGGTGAGTGCACGTGCCCCATAGCAAAAACCTTTCCAAAAAAAAAAAAGAAAGAAAGAAAGCTGTGTTCTATGAATAATAAATTGCTATAAATAAAGAAGTTTTAAAAGTACATAATTCATAATATATGTCTCTTTCTCTATATATATATTTTTCTGTACCAAAATTATATATGCATATGTATTATAAATGACTTTTTTTTACAGACTGGAACCGAACAGGGACTTGATGGTTGTGTTTCTTTGCTGCGGGACATTTTGAGAAATGAAGATTCAGGTTTTATTTTTTGAAATGCTTCTTTGTTGATTACCTTTTCTCAAGTAGTTCTTTTAAAGTTAAGTAATTTTTGTTTTAATTATTAATAGGTTCAGAAACAGCTTATTCAGAAAATAGACCAACTTCCAGACCTTTAGAAGGCAAAAGATACAGATCTAAAAAGAAAGGACAAGAGAAACATACTATTTCTTCAGTAGTTCAGAAAAAAATATGTAAGCATTTTTTATTTATTTAGAGATAATTCGTAGTTCTGGGGATTTCAATAAACTATCAGGATTGTGCAGTTATCTTTTAATAATGTGTTGGTAATTCAGGTGTATGTGTGTTATGAGTCTCTCTAGTCTGCTTCTAAATGCTAAATAGTCACTTTGCTTAAAATCACTCCCATAGGAATAAAAGTAGTAACAGGCTACGTCTGGGTTTTGTAGGAGTAAAGGTTTTAATTCAGAATGACATTTGGGAGATGTAGTTGTCTTTGTTTCCTCTGCCACTCTTTCCATAGATAATGAATTGTTTTATATGCGTATCTTCTAAGTTAGTTCAAGAGACCAACTTAATGAGCTGCACAGTTAGGATACATGGTACCTAAGAAGTAAAATTCTAGTTTGCATTGATAAGAGTCTTCTGATGAGCCTTGGTTAAGGGTATTTTACACCCTCATAGTTGATTATTTTGATGTGATTAAGTATAATAATTAAGCAAACAAGTTTTGATTATGTTGTGCCTTTGAGGCCTATAGAACAAAATAGCCCAGATGGAGATGAAAAGTTCATAATGGAAGTTCAGATGGAGAAGAACTGAACTAGCTAGTTCTACAGCCCAGGTGAGCCAGATATATCAGCAGTACTACACTACATGCCTTAATTTAGCTTAGGCAAGTGGTGAAAATGTAGAAATCATCCAAGGCAATAGAACAGGAGATTAATAGATTAGGATCCAGGCAAAGAGGTCGAGAAAGTGTAGCTAGAACATTTATAGGACTAGTAGTTCCATATGTTCTGGAGTTAAGAGAATTAAGGTAGGGGAAACAACTCACTTCAGTCCTTGTCCTGAAGGCCAGTTGCATTGAGCTTCATGTTCTCTTATAACTACTAGCCGTATGTGGATTTTGAGTACTTGAAATATTAGTAATACAGTCAAGAGTTTAGTGTTATTTATTTTTAAGTAATATAAATTTAAGTTAGAAAATCAATACTTGATTCAGTTACAAAACTTTTTTCTTTTTCTTTTTTTTTTTAAGGTTTTTGCCATATGGTGAGAGTGCTCGCCTGAGAGGAGATAGAGAAACAGTGAGAGGGACAGTAAGAAGTCCCTCCCACCAAGAGGGACGGCCAAGCCACAGTCCCTTCTGGGATTTTGGGCATGCACACACGTGCATCTGGTGCGATTTTTAGGCTATCAGGTCTGAGACTTGAACTGTTGTTGGCCATGCGAGAATCTAGTGTTTTAACCACCATGCCACCTGCTGGCCCCAGAACTTTTGTTTTCTTAATGAGAGAGGTTTTTGACAAGATGTCCCTATGTCACAATCCTCCTGCCCCAGCCTGCCATTACCTTGGGTTAGAGGCAGCCAGTTTAGGTTGGGCTGGTAATTGAACCTGGAGCTCCCATGAACCTCAGTCTCTAATTAGCAGTGTCTTAACAGTGTGTACCACTGAGACTGAGCTCCCAGTTATAACACTTATAACTGTATTTGGAATAACTTGGGAATATGAAACAATCTTTTCAATTTTAATTTGTATTAACTAAACACAAATCATGTATTTCTGATGACATTTTAACATCCAGACTGAGATGTGCTTTGTGTAAAATACAGGCTGGATTTAGAAGTCTTAATACAGAAATAAAATATCTCAGTTCTTTATATTATTACTGTCAGCATGTTAATATTTCAGATATATGGATTTAAATAAAATATTACAAAAGGTAATTTTGCCTATTTTCTCTTTTTAATGTAGCTATTGGAAATTTTAAATTATACTTCTGGCTTGCATTATATTTTTATTAGACAACATCAGTCTAAACGAGGGGTCAGCACATCACAACCAGTTACATTTTATAAATAATATTTAGTTATTTTGTTTTATAAGTGAAGTTTTATTAGAACATAGTCATGCTAATTTAGTCATGTATTTTTCATGACTGCTTTTGAGCAGAGTTGAGTAGATGTGGTGAGACCATCTCACTCCTGGCCTGCTGCGCCTTTACTTTTTGGCTCTATCTGGATGGAAAAAATAATATACTTGTCAAACAATGCTTGTCCATCTGTGCAACAGTCAGTGCTATCAAACAAGTGCCTTCTGATTGATAGGTAAAATTCTGAGTAAGGTGCTTTGGTGTAATTAACATGAACAATAAAGTATACTTCATTTGTTTTTGTGTAGTAATGGGTTTATTTTGTTCTTGGTTGGTTTCATTTTAAAACTGTATGGTACTAACATAAATGTAATCTTTTATATCCGTTTATGGATTTTAATCTGCCTTGGATTTGTTTTAAGACTTTATCCCTTAAATACAAGTACCCAAGCCTTATCAGTAGAGTTTCATATGGACTGAGTTTATACAGGAGCAAAATAAGTCATTTTAACTCAAACTTTGATTTTTAAGAAATATATTTGGAATTTATTAATTTATATTGGATGATGACATCTGCTGGTAGAGGCATAATATTATAGCTCAGCTTTATCAGAGACTGTGAAAACAACTCCTTGAAAAGAAGGCGAATGAAAGCCAATCCCTAGGAAGGACCTGAGAGTGTGAAGTGTGAGAATTTTTCAAACCAGACAATTATAAGGAACCGAAGAAATCCAGCAGTAGGAGAGAAACCTAGGAATCAACAGGAAAGGATGAACCATGTGCTAGACAGTCATCCTGCTTTTAGATTCAAAGTTCAAATATTTTAGAGGATACTTTTCCACTGGATTTATTACCAAATTATGCTTCCAGTAAGAAAAAAATATTTGCTTTATAGAAATTTATTACCCAGTTTTGTTGTAGCTTATCTGTTTAGTGAAGATAACTGTTACTGCTTTTGGTTTTGATCACCTCAGAGTGAATATATTCAAAGGTATATTATTGCTATTTGATAGCAAAATTTATGAATACGAAATACCAGAAAAAGTTCAAGGAGAATGCATATGATAAAAAAAACTTCATGGATTTCAACATTTTTTGTACCAAAATAAACCCATACTTTTTTTTCCATTAAGTTTTTGATGTGTACTCATATTTACTTGTCTTTCTTAAGACAAAGTTTGAGTTAAAATGACCTATTTTGCTCCTGTATAAACTCAGTCCATATGAAACTCTACTGCATCTAGAAGGCTGGCAGGTGGCATAGTGGTTACAGGCACTGGACTCCCACATGGCCAACTGCTGCTCAAGTCCTAGACCTGAAGGCGTGCTTTCTCTCTCTCTCTCTCACTCTCTCTCTCTCACTCTGTTCTTATTTGGTCAAATTAAGATAAGTAAATGAATAAAAATAAAGTTAAGTAACATAATTAAAAAAAAAGAGTTGCATCTATGTGGTGTGATATTAATTTATTGAGTTTTTACTGTATGCTAGACACTGATTTAAAAACTTTCCAAGTTTTATTTAACTCTCATGAGTCTTAGGAAGTATTCTTACCACCATTTTTCTAATGAGGAAGAGTAGGTCAAGAGAGGTTAAGTAATTTGCCAAAAGTTACTCAACTAGGAGTTGTATTTGCCTTAGAACTGTATTCATAGGAATAAATTCTAGGGGACTCTATGCTTTTTTTTTTTTTTTTTAATTTGCCAGAAGGTGCATGCATTCACCAGAAAGACACAGAGAGAGCAAAAGAGTGCTCCCCAGAGGGATTGGTCACGCCAGAATCCCTTTTCCATTTCTCTCTCCTTTCAGGATTTTGGACATGTACGTAAATATGTCTAGTGTGTTTTTAAGCCGCTGGGTCTGGCACTTGAACCGTGATGTCAACCCTGTGGGATCTAGCCATCTTAACCACCATGCCATGCGCTGGCCCTATACCATTTTTTTTTTAATTTTATTTTTTCAGTTTTTGGAAAATTAAGGAATAATTTTCATAAGTAATTTAAAAATAAATGAATTTCAATACGTTTTTGAATATGTATATAACCATATAGTCACCACCCAGATCAAGACATAGAACATTTCTGTACCATACAAGTCTCACTTCCTGTCAGTATTATCACCACCACCTATACTCATCCTTGGGTAATCACTTTACTATCTTCTGTCTTCATTTGCTACTTTTGCCTGTTTTTGAACTTTATCTAAATGCAATAGTGCAGTATGTACTCTTATGTCTGACATCTTTCACTCAACCTTATGTCTGTTAAATTTATCCAGGTAGTTTTGTCATAGTTTTTTCCTCATTGTTGTGTAGTATTTGAGTATGTGAGTATACTACAATTTATATTTCTATCTTTTTGTTTTCATGTTTTGCTTACTGCAAATAAAGTTGATGTGAACATTCCTGTTCTTGTCTTTTAGTAGACATAGGCATCGTTTCTGTTAGGTAAACATAGGAGTAGAATTATTGTGTCATAGGATATGTATATTTACCTTTGGTAGGTATTACCTAACACTGTATATTTTTCTAAATTTATTTTTTATCATGATAACCTTTGATTAACCAAAACATTCTCATTTCTGTTAGTAGTTTATAAAAAACATTTGGGAAAGCTGAGCAAAGTATATCCCTGTAGTCCTAGGTATTCTGGAGGCTGAGACAGCTAGGATCATAGCAGCCTGAAAGAGCTGCCAGGTGTGGTGGCATGTACCTGTAGTCCCAGTTACTGGGAGCCAGAAGCATGGTCATGACACACCAAGACCTTGCCTTTTTTTTTTTTAAAAGCATTTGAGGTATTTGAGATAGAATCTTATTAGAGAAATAGAATTAAGATTTTCATACCAACCTGTAGGGTAGAGCTAGGTAGAAAAATTGTTTTCTTTTCATTGATTTGTTTATCAATAGCAGATTTCTACTTTGTACATAAACTAATACCAGGCTCTTTGGGAGAAAATAATGAAGTATGAAGAATAAGGTGTAGTCCTGCCTGAAGAGGCTAGTAGAGAAAGAAAGATAAGCACTATGGGGCAGTATGTCAGTGATGATTTGCATAGGCAGCATGTGCTCTGGGGTGGTGAAGAGCTGTTATTGGACTGGAATGTTTGGATCGAAAAGACTTCATGGAAGAGGGAAGCTTGCAGAAGAACGTTGGTGAGTGGGTGGAACTGAATTGGAAGAAATGGTTTATCATGAGCAATATCATAGGCAGGTGAGAAAAGCTTGTTGGGTGTCTAAATTGGCTTGGCAAGAATGAAAATCTTGAGTTGGAGGTTGTGGGAAGATAGTTGGAAAAACTTTTATGTAACTTTATATGCCAGATTGAGATGGATATTGGGGAGTTCAATGTGTAGATTAAGGTTTTTTTGGGGGGGGTCTCGAAGATCTGATTTTTTTTTTTCTTCAAAGCATTAAAATTGTTACAAGGTATTCTGAGTTTCCTATTCCATTTTTCTCTGAGGGCATGGGCTAGGGTCAAGGTGAAGGAATTTTATTGGACTTTAGGGACAGTATAAAACCCTTATGAGATGTATTATAAGTGAAGGAGAGATGTTATAAGTAACATTCAATATAGGCTTAAAGAATTAATATATATGGTTTTAGACTGAGGAAACTTACTTTTGTTAGTTATTTTCAAAAGGGAATTTGAAGTGATTTTCTTTAAGGTCAGGTAATAGTGATAAAGCCCTTCTGTGAAGTATACTTTGAACTGAACTACTTCTGAGAGTTCTTTTTCCCCTAAGATATGGTAAAAGTTTTTGAAGAATCATATTTCAGGAACCTTTTTTTCTTCACATTAGTATCTTCAGATAATAAGAAACAGATACCTAATGAAGCTTCTGCTGGAAATAAAAGAGAAACATCAGACATAGCACAAAACTGGTCATTGCAAGATCATTATAGAATGTATTCACCCATAATATACCAAGCCCTCTGTGAGCATGTGCAGACTCAAATGTCACTGATGAATAACTTGGCTTCAAAGAACAACCCTAATGGAATTCCTTCTGTATCTTGCCATTCTGTGTCTGGTTCTGGTTAGTATAAATGATATTTTTAAAAGCATGAATGTAAGCTCTAATTAAATTGCTGGTTATTGTATAAAGTATATGAGATGAAAATGATTTTTTTCCTCTTACTTTTTTAGAGTCTCAGGCAACTGTACAATCTAATTATGGCTGTTGTACTTCTACACCTGTCTGGTCACCTCAGTGGCCATCCTGCCCTCCAGTGATTCATTCTGTGGGTACAGTTTATATACCATCCAAGTAATTATTTGCTTATAGAAATTGTCATCCTAGGAGGAAGCATTGTATATAATGATTATATCCTAATGCACTAAGATATAAAGACCAATTATGATTTCAAGTTATTTTTTATGAGAAAAGCTGCCTATTTATTAAGGACTCTAGTAAGGAGGGAGGAGAGGAAGAAATAAGTAGAAAAAGGAAGTAAGCCATACTCACCACTCAAGCAATAATTGCTGTTAACACTAATAGAGTACTTTCTCATCATTTAATTCTCTATATAAGTTTTGTTTTCTGGCTTTTATTTTTTTGTTTGTTTGTTCTCTTTTAATATTATAATTAAATCTTATATATTTTTATATACTATTTTTACTTAACATTTTATTATAAACATGTTTCTCTATTAATATTACCCTTTGTGAATTTTTAATAAGTTAAGATTATATTTTGTGGATATACCATAGTCTATAATTTCCATGTAGTTAGATATTTATATAACAGCTAATTTTCTCACTGTTGTAACATTTTTCTAACTATGTGAGTACAAAAACTCTTTGAAATATTTGAGCTTATTTTCTTTTGCTTTTTTTTTTTTTGAGAGGTTTTTTTTTGCTTTAGGGCATGCACTCTCCCTCCAGAGAGAGGGACGAAAGTGAGAAATCACCCTGTAGGGGAGATGGCCATGCCGCAGTCCTTTCTCCTGTATTATCCTCCTGGATCTTAGGCGCATATATGTGCCAGGCATGAGTTTCAGGCTGCCAGGTCTGGGACTCAAACCGTGATTTGCCATATGGAAGTCCAGCAACATAACCACTAAGCCATCTGCTGGCTCCTTTAGCTTGTTTACTTACAATGCAATTTCCCAAAGTGGAAATGTTTATTTTAATCCCAAAGTGGACTAATTTTTGATGCCATTAAACCATGTATGGAATTTATAAACAAGAATTATTGTGTCATAGGATATGTATATTTACCTTTGGTAGGTATTACCTAACACTGTATATTTTTCTAAATTTATTTTTTATCATGATAACCTTTGATTAACCAGAACATTCTCATTTCTGTTAGTAGTTTATAAAAAACATTTGGGAAAGCTGAGCAAAGTATATCCCTGTAGTCCTAGGTATTCTGGAGGCTGAGACAGCTAGGATCATAGCAGCCTGAAAGAGCTGCCAGGTGTGGTGGCATGTACCTGTAGTCCCAGTTACTGGGAGCCAGAAGCATGGTCATGACACACCAAGACCTTGCCTTTTTTTTTTTTAAAAGCATTTGAGGTATTTGAGATAGAATCTTATTAGAGAAATAGAATTAAGATTTTCATACCAACCTGTAGGGTAGAGCTAGGTAGAAAAATTGTTTTCTTTTCATTGATTTGTTTATCAATAGCAGATTTCTACTTTGTACATAAACTAATACCAGGCTCTTTGGGAGAAAATAATGAAGTATGAAGAATAAGGTGTAGTCCTGCCTGAAGAGGCTAGTAGAGAAAGAAAGATAAGCACTATGGGGCAGTATGTCAGTGATGATTTGCATAGGCAGCATGTGCTCTGGGGTGGTGAAGAGCTGTTATTGGACTGGAATGTTTGGATCGAAAAGACTTCATGGAAGAGGGAAGCTTGCAGAAGAACGTTGGTGAGTGGGTGGAACTGAATTGGAAGAAATGGTTTATCATGAGCAATATCATAGGCAGGTGAGAAAAGCTTGTTGGGTGTCTAAATTGGCTTGGCAAGAATGAAAATCTTGAGTTGGAGGTTGTGGGAAGATAGTTGGAAAAACTTTTATGTAACTTTATATGCCAGATTGAGATGGATATTGGGGAGTTCAATGTGTAGATTAAGGTTTTTTTGGGGGGGGTCTCGAAGATCTGATTTTTTTTTTTCTTCAAAGCCTTAAAATTGTTACAAGGTATTCTGAGTTTCCTATTCCATTTTTCTCTGAGGGCATGGGTCAAGGTGAAGGAATTTTATTGGACTTTAGGGACAGTATAAAACCCTTATGAGATGTATTATAAGTGAAGGAGAGATGTTATAAGTAACATTCAATATAGGCTTAAAGAATTAATATATATGGTTTTAGACTGAGGAAACTTACTTTTGTTAGTTATTTTCAAAAGGGAATTTGAAGTGATTTTCTTTAAGGTCAGGTAATAGTGATAAAGCCCTTCTGTGAAGTATACTTTGAACTGAACTACTTCTGAGAGTTCTTTTTCCCCTAAGATATGGTAAAAGTTTTTGAAGAATCATATTTCAGGAACCTTTTTTTCTTCACATTAGTATCTTCAGATAATAAGAAACAGATACCTAATGAAGCTTCTGCTGGAAATAAAAGAGAAACATCAGACATAGCACAAAACTGGTCATTGCAAGATCATTATAGAATGTATTCACCCATAATATACCAAGCCCTCTGTGAGCATGTGCAGACTCAAATGTCACTGATGAATAACTTGGCTTCAAAGAACAACCCTAATGGAATTCCTTCTGTATCTTGCCATTCTGTGTCTGGTTCTGGTTAGTATAAATGATATTTTTAAAAGCATGAATGTAAGCTCTAATTAAATTGCTGGTTATTGTATAAAGTATATGAGATGAAAATGATTTTTTTCCTCTTACTTTTTTAGAGTCTCAGGCAACTGTACAATCTAATTATGGCTGTTGTACTTCTACACCTGTCTGGTCACCTCAGTGGCCATCCTGCCCTCCAGTGATTCATTCTGTGGGTACAGTTTATATACCATCCAAGTAATTATTTGCTTATAGAAATTGTCATCCTAGGAGGAAGCATTGTATATAATGATTATATCCTAATGCACTAAGATATAAAGACCAATTATGATTTCAAGTTATTTTTTATGAGAAAAGCTGCCTATTTATTAAGGACTCTAGTAAGGAGGGAGGAGAGGAAGAAATAAGTAGAAAAAGGAAGTAAGCCATACTCACCACTCAAGCAATAATTGCTGTTAACACTAATAGAGTACTTTCTCATCATTTAATTCTCTATATAAGTTTTGTTTTCTGGCTTTTATTTTTTTGTTTGTTTGTTCTCTTTTAATATTATAATTAAATCTTATATATTTTTATATACTATTTTTACTTAACATTTTATTATAAACATGTTTCTCTATTAATATTACCCTTTGTGAATTTTTAATAAGTTAAGATTATATTTTGTGGATATACCATAGTCTATAATTTCCATGTAGTTAGATATTTATATAACAGCTAATTTTCTCACTGTTGTAACATTTTTCTAACTATGTGAGTACAAAAACTCTTTGAAATATTTGAGCTTATTTTCTTTTGCTTTTTTTTTTTTTTTTTTTATTTTTTTTTAGGTTTTTTTGAGAGGTTTTGCTTCAGGGTGCATGCACTCTCCCTCCAGAGAGAGGGACGAAAGTGAGAAATCACCCTGTAGGGGAGATGGCCATGCCGCAGTCCTTTCTCCTGTATTATCCTCCTGGATCTTAGGCGCATATATGTGCCAGGCATGAGTTTCAGGCTGCCAGGTCTGGGACTCAAACCGTGATTTGCCATATGGAAGTCCAGCAACATAACCACTAAGCCATCTGCTGGCTCCTTTAGCTTGTTTACTTACAATGCAATTTCCCAAAGTGGAAATGTTTATTTTAATCCCAAAGTGGACTAATTTTTGATGCCATTAAACCATGTATGGAATTTATAAACAATCTATTTTAGTCATGACCTTAGAATGTTCCCAAATTACAGAGTGAACTAATTAAGCTTTATAAGCTGGGATCTTTATTGTGCTGAGGAGAAACTCAGCTTACTTTTAAATTAAAAATATTTAAAAGTCTGTTTCTAATATTAGAAAGTCATTTTATAATATTTCTAACATGTATGGTGTGAGTTTGTTATAATTAATGTTGGCAAGTGAGTGCTTACACTTTTGAAGGCTTAACTTGTTTTTTTTTCTTTCTTTAGGAAGTTCACACTGATTATGACAACCAGTTTGCATCACAAGGTAAAACAATTTCTGTGAACTGTACTGATGTCCTAAGGAATTCGTCTAATACCAGTTCTGGAGTTTCATGTAGCCTTCCTAAAACCGAGAAATCAGCTGTTTCAGCATTTCAGCAGCTAGGTCCGGCTAATGGGATCCTGCCACAACAAGGAGTTGCTAAGGAAGCAGACCTAATAAAGTATTTTCAAACATATATGTCTCTGTTTCAATGTCATGGAAAGGAAACTCATCTGGACAGTCAGACACACCAAAGCCCCACTCGATCACAGCCAGCCTTTCTGGCCGCCGATGAAGGAAAATGTACCAGAGAACAAATTGGAGATGCCACAAGTGAAGGAAAGAATTTAAACGTCCATATGCGAGATACGAAAATAGTCAAGGATATACAGAAGGCAAAAAATGTGAAGCAGACTGCCGAAAAAGTTAGAACTATGAAATATTTGTTGGGAGAGCTCAAGGCCCTAGTAGCAGAACAAGGTACATGAATACTTTCCTTATTTCTGCAGTACATACTATTGATATTTAGCCATCATTTAAAGTGAGAGTAATTGACATGGAGTTTGTGGTATTTTCCATAGAACAGTGTCTTGAGCTAATAAGGAAATGAGTTCTGCCTGTTGTGTTCTTATTTTTTAAGTGTTGATCCCTTCTTATTTCCTGTGGATTTGAAATATGTTAGGAAACATCAGACATTCAGTCTTTTGCTTCTAAGTGTATATTCATTCTACTTGATAACAGACCTTGAAAAGATTCAACCAAAGAGAATCTATAGACATAAAATTTTAGGCCCCCTAAATATGACTGATTATTTTTTTCTATTTTAAAAAGTTGTGAGAGTGTTCTTACTTTTTTTTCATAGCCAACTGTTATGTTGTTCAATAAATCTCACTTTGAGGAGTAACCCAAATCTTTTTATGTCCTTTTTAGTTTATTTTTAGGATTTTTCTTAAATCAAGAAAAATGTCCTAGAACCAGGTTGTATTCATTTGTTTTTTATTCTGTATAAATATTCTAAAGTAATGTGTTTTGCTTGGAATGAGTTACAGATTTATCTTAGAAAACAGAGTCAGGATTGTGAAAGAACTGATTAACTATTTTGCAGACTTACCAAAAAAATAAAAGTAAAAATCTCAAAATTCTAAAGAATACAGCACCATAAAACTAAAAGTTGAGTATATTAAAATTGTTGTTTTCACACCTTCAACTTATTGCCATTCTTATAACCAAAAGCTTAATTATGGCAGAAGTAATAAGAACAACATTAGCTATCATTTGTTGAATACTTTTTACGTGCCCAGCACTGTGCTGTGTTTTACATGCATTATCTATCTCATTTAATCCTCACAGCAACCCTCTGAGGCCCTATTACTACTCCTAATTTACAGATGAGGAATCTGGGGCTTGGAGAACAGTATCTCATTTAATCTTCTCAACAACCCTGTGAGGTACTGTTTTTAATCTCCGTTTAACTATGAACTCAGGCTTAAAGCAGTTAAGTAGTTCAGATGTTGGTAAAGGACATAAAATTTCAGCTGGGTAAGAGGAAGTTCAAGAGATCTATTATATAGCATGGTTCCTATTGTTAATAACAATGTAGTGTATCCTTGCAAATTGCAAAGAGAGTAAATTTTAAGTATTCTCAACACAGAAAGAAAAACCTATAAGTATGTGAGGTAATGAGTATGTTAATGAGTTACATTTAGCCATTCCACAAAGTATCTGGGAATCTTTTAAAAAATCATGGAAAAGGTACATTACTAAAAACTGAATGGAGTTCAAAATTTTTGCACCAAAATAATTACTCACACTTTAATTCCATGTGTCCATGAACATTTAGAAGCCCCGTCATATATATATTTCAAAACAACATGTTGTATATGGTAAATATGTGCAATTTTTGTCAGTTGAAATTTTAGTTGACTAAGATTATATCTGTAGAAAGCAGTAACTGGTTACAGTGGTTTACTGTGTACAAGTACTTTTCCTCAGGATGTTAAACTATTCATGGAATTGAATAAATTCTTGTAACTTAGAATATACTATCAACCTCTTTTGGGTATCAATTAATATATAGTTTTAAATATTTTCAGTCCACAGAAAATTTGAATGATAATGAAGGGACAAAAATAAAAGAACAAAAATATCTAATAAGTACTTTCTGCCTGTGTCTGTTTCCCACCTCCAAAACTAATCTCTTCTCCACAATTAATAACAAAATGGTACTTATTCCTTTTGATTCCGTGTCAAATGGGTCATGTGTGGCTGGTCGTATTATAGCTACTTTATAAAATTAATGAAAGCATAGCAGACCCTTATTCAGTCTTTTGCCAGATGAATCACCTACAGTAAATTACTCGCTTACGCCAAGATCAGAGGTTGTGTAGCAAATGTTAGTACTGTACCTGATGGTGGGAAACCCTGTAGCGATCAGGAAGCCGTGACAGTCCTCTTCTAAGTATGAACTAGGAGATTATGTGTAAACCTTTCTTCTAGATTCTTTAACTGAAAAAAAAAAAATCACTAATAATCTTGTGCTTTAAGATTAATCTTGGGGGAACCAGCGGTTAGCGTAATGGCTATGTTGCTGGACTCCCACGTAGTCGACCACAGTTCGTGTCCTGGACCTGGTGGCTTAAAACTCACGCCAGGCGCGTGTGTGTGCATGCCTAAGATCCCAAGAGGAGAATGGAGCAGAAGGGATTGCGGCATGGCCATCCCCCCTGGGGGGTGATTTCTCGCTTTTATTTACAACAGGTGTACAATATTTGTAACCCTTTTCTTTTTTAGTAATATATGCTAATAATCTTGTCTAAAAACAGTTTACAATATTGATTTTACTTTTTTCTTCTGCCTTTATAGAAGATTCAGAGATTCAGAGGTTGGTTACAGAAGTGGAGGCATGTATAACTATGCTTCCAGCAGTTAGTGGGAACACAGATATTCAAGTAGAAATAGCATTGGCCATGCAACCATTGCGAAGTGAAAATGCTCAGTTACGGAGGTAAGGGTCACTCTTTGAATATTTTTATGTGTGTGTAGAAATGTCTCAGGTCCAGAACAAAAGTGCCAAATGAAATATCTAGGACTCTAGGACCAGTAGTTAGCATAATGGCTATGTTGCTGGACTCCCATGTAGTCGACCATGGTTCGCGTCCCGGATCTGGTGGCTTAAAATTCACGCCAGGCGCGTGTGCGTGCGTGTCTAAGATCCCAAGAGGAGAATGGAGCAGAAGGGATTGCGGCATGGCCATCCCCCCTGGGGGGTGATTTCTCGCTTTCTGTCTCTCTGTCTCTCTGTCTGCCTGGTGAGTGCACGTGTCCTATAGCAAAAACCTCTCTCTAAAAAAAAAAAAAAAAACAACAAAAAACAACAAAATAGACCCAACTAGGACTCCATAAGGAAAATAGATTTGCTGTCTTTTTGTATTTCTACTTTTTCTTCCTCATTTTCAAGAGTTCTACCGTTTTCTAACAATGTTATTACTCTAGCCCACTAGAACATATTTTCTCTTACTTATTTGTCGCTATTGTCACCTACCTGGATGTGTATAGACAGGAAAACGAAGTACCTCAGTGTATTTATCAGGCTAGTCTACAGTGGGTTTTGCTCAAATAACAAACTTCTAAATCTTGATGGCCTAGCACAGCAGAAGTTAATTTCTCCCTCATGCTACAACCAAGATGGGTCATTGGAGGCTGTCTTTCATCCTAGGAGGCGGGATCCAGGCTCCCTCCCCTCCATCTTATATGAGCCACTATGTCAGTATGTGTTCCAGGAAAGAGTTTGTACGTAAGGCAACAGGGCATTCATATGCACACTGACCCAGAAGTGATTATCTCACTACCACTTACATTTTATAGGCTAAAACAAGGTCACATGGCTCTCCTTAATATAAAAACCTGGGACATAACATTTTCCTATTCTTAGACTTTCAAGAAGGAAAGACAAATCTGATATGGGTGAACACTAGGCCCCACTACCACCAGCACATGTGCACACGCACACACACACACACACACACACACACACAAATACACACACACACCCCCACACACTTAGACGTAGGGAAAAACTCATTTAAATTCTTAGATGTTTCTTCTAGTCATCATAACTTCTTAACTTGTTGGAATTATATTTTTAATTTGTTCGGGAAAGATCTAAACCAGTGATCTAGTCTCAAAATTAGAAGGAATCACCCACATTTTATTAATAACTTTGAATATTTCAGAGATGGTCACCAAGACTTCATTAATATTCTTTGCAGATAATTGAGGTACATTTTCACATGCTTCTGCAGCACTGCAATGTGAGTCTATCCTGAGACCGTGCTACAGTTGCATGAACAATAGACATTGTACAAGATAGGACCTGCACACGTTTTTTAAGAAACCAGAAAAAAAGTAAACTAATTGAGAGTAGTTTACATTTACAGATTTAGAACCTGAACAACTGTGGTACCTGGTGAAATTTACTTGCTAAGGATTATTTTCCTATAGATCATTAGGGTTTTTTTAAATTTTTTTTTAGAGATTTTTGCTATAAGGCACATGTGCTTGCCGGGGACAGACAGAAAGTGAGAGATCACACCCCCAGAGGAGATGGTCATGCTGTTGTCTCCATTCTCCTCTCAGGATGTTGGGCACACATGCACATACTCTCAGCATGAATTTCAAGCCTCTGGGTCCAGGACTCAAACTGTGGTTAGCCATATGGGAGTCCAGTGAACGTAGGATATAAGATGCGTTTGCTGGGTTTAAATTCTATAATTAATTTTTTAAGATGAAAACCAAGAGTAAGTAATTATAATGTTAATGAACGAAAAATACTACTAGCATTTGTTGAATGTTTGTTGTGTGCCAAGTTGTTGTTCTTTATACAAGGGGTCTTCAGAAATTTCATGGGAAATGCATAGGATGAGAAAACTATGCATGGATTTCAGAATTTTGCACCATAATAAACTCGTACTTTAATTCCATTTTTCTACGAACTTTTTGAAGTCCCCTTGTATGTGTCATAATCTCCTTAAATGCTCACAAGTAGCTCTGTGAAGTGGGGATTATGTTATTCTTATTTAGAAATGAGGAAACCAAGGCACAGAAAGTTTATGTAACTTGTCAAAGGTCACATACCTAAGTTACAAAGTCAAGACGATTTGATTTTAGAGTGCAATGATCTTAACTTGTAGACTTCTGTAGTGTCTCCAGTAGAAAAGTAGAGACTTATTTACACTTCACTATTTATTGGGTTGTCAGGAAAGTTATATGTTTTTCTATGCAAAAATGTGTTGTGACTTTCCCAAAAACCCAATAGGTACATCTTATGAAACAAAAGATTATATTGTAAGCCATTCAAAGTAAACAAGCAGAATATTTAAAGAAATGACAGTCAAATCATTGGTTTCTCAAATAAGCATATGAGCTCAGTCTTGGAATGTTATCTATTTTAATCTTGTCACAATGGGAAATATCATTGGTTCTTTTCTATTTCTATTCCTTAGAACATTTTTAAATTGCCTTAGGAATTAAATTGTAAGACACTCAAGAAAATGAAACTTATTATGTCATGGATTGTTTTTAATTTTTTAAAAAGGTATTATTAGTTTGATGTCTAGCCTAATTCCTCAGCCTTGGCACCAGGGCTTTCTGGCTATTTCTACTTACAGGGTGAATATATAGCATACCATTGTCACTGTTGTTTACTTGACCTTCTAATGGATGAAATACTGAAAATGAAAAATTTGTCAGATATGCTTCTTTTAGCAGAATGAGATTTCTAATAGTAATAGTGTAGGAATTTTTGTGCCACTTGGTAATCAGTCCTTAGTTGGGAAGAATCATCCATAATCTCCATTTCAAATAAAAACTGAAATGAATAGGCCCCTTCAAACATGTTTTTTTATATTTTTAATCCAAAAAATTTTTTTTCCTGTTTAGAGATTTGGAAACTACATACATTTTTTTTTAGAAATTTATCTTTCAGGACTTTCTTTGAGTTTATTGCCATCTTGTGGCTTTAAAAAAAACCAGCTAGATGTACTACTTCTATGATATCTTAGATGTTTGTTGTTTGGACTGGACAGTTGTTATATGAGACTTATTTTTAATTGCCAGAGGGTGCATGCCTCACCATAGAGAGAGTAAGAGAGAGAGAAAGCACACCCCAGTGAAGTTGGCCATACAGCAGTCCTTTGTCCTCTGTTTCTCTTTCCTGTCAGGATTTTGAACATACATGCACATGCACTCCACGTTTTTCAAGCTGCCAGGGCTAGGAAACTAACTGCAGTTGGCCATATGGGATTTGGCTTTCAAAGCAGAGATAGCACTTAACCACTGTACTATGAGGCTGCTGGCCCTTATGAGTGGCTTCTAACACAGTTATCCAATACTTAGCCTTCCTGGTTACCACCCACTATACATCTGTAGTGCCCCATTCATTTTGACCACCAAAAGCCCTGACGCATTCCGTATTTCCTGATGAGGGTGAAGGCTTAGTCACCTTTTATTAGGAACCATGGAACTAGAGAGTGCCTTAATATTTATAGAGCAAGTTAGAATTCATGACCACTTCTTGATTTTAGGCCCAAATATGCACCCACACAGAACGATAAAATGAAATAGGGGAGAATGTAGAAATTAAGGATGACATTCAGGTTTCTGTGTTTATAGTTTGACAGATGGCAACATAACTCCTCCACAAGGGAGCTACTAGAAGAAGAGTGGATTTGTTTGTTTTTTTTTTTATTTCATTTTATTTTTAAGTTAGAAGAGATAATAGGAAAGCCATTGAGTTAAGTTTTAGATACACTGAGAGCATCATTTAAACCATCTGGAGCTATGTATGATAATAAGTCTGTAGTACAGGAACAAAGTCCAGGATAGACATGTAGACTTGGGAGTTACTCACTGAACATGTTTTTACTAAGCTGGTACTATAGATCTGCCAGTGTTGTAGGTACTGGAGACAATAGTGATTTAAAACAGGTGATCTGTTATAGCATGTAAGTGATAAATTCAAGAAGGTATAGTATGTGTACACAGCAAAGGCTGAGCTGCTGGCAGTAACAGGAAAGAACAGAGGAAGAGAATCCTCTCAAAGAAACCTGAGAAGGAACAGCAAGGGACGTTACAGGAAAACTAAGAGTGATGAAACAATAGCCATGGAAAAACAAACTTGTAAAAGGATAGATCTTTGTATAACCTTCAGAATAAACAAACTGATGCCATAAGACAAATCACCCAAAGAAAATCCAGAAAAACTTGATACAGTATTCCATAGTCTTAAGGAAATTAAAAAATAATATGATTTCTCTTAAAGGGAAAAGAAGAGATAGAAAGTGCTTAAAGAATATAGTTAGTAAAAGGAAAAGAAAATGAGTTTAAGTAAGCTCAGAAAAATAACATACGCTGGTATAGTTATTCTACTTTAAGGACAGAAAAATACTAGTTTTTAAAAGGTATCCAAAAGAAGAAGCAAAGCAAGAAAAAAATGTTAGACTGGCCCCAATGTTTTCATAGGGATATTTATTGCCAGATGATCCTAGAACATCATTTATAGACAGCTAAGGGAATAAAGAATGCCCCAAGAATCACTTACGTGGTCCAGCTGTTCCTTTATTGTAAAGGTGATAGTCATATTCTCAAGCAGGGACTTAGGAAATACAGCACCTCTGGAATCCTTTAAAAACAAAACAAAAGCCTCTTGAATTGGAGAGTCAAGTTAACCCAGAAATGAATTCAAATAAAGAAGTAGACTAGAGATGAACGTTGAATCTGTACATTGAACTAAGATCACTGTGGAAGTTATGGTTCTAGAATAGGATGTGTTAGTAATATGGACAGTTAGTAATATCAGTTCCAAATGCAGTGTTTTTCAAATTCCATTTATGCTATTTAGTAATAATATTTCTTGAAGTGAAGAAATACCTGCTTACATGTACTTTATGGAATACTATTCAGCCATGAAAAACAAGATCCTGGCATTTGATAGAAGGTGGTCAAATATGGAAGATTTATTGCTGAGTGAATTAAGTGAGGATGTGAAAAAAAATATTGTATGTCTCCACTTAATATATACTGACTGTCCACTCTCTATGATAGAGACTGAAAGATTGGAGGACATAAAAGCATTGAAAATAGTTACGGACAATGGAGACACTGTGGAAGGAGGGTGAGAGAGGGGAAGAGTATAGGGAAGAAGATTGGGGGGAAAATAGAGAAGCAAGACATTTGTTGGACATAATAATAGTTTATTACCTATTGATGATAATGTGTATAGTATTCCCAACTGGATGGGTCTGAGGTGTTTTTCACGTTGGGCAAATTCTCTTTGCAAGCCAAATGTTGTACAGTGATCGAATGTATAAAAAAAAATAATAAAAATAATAATAAAATAAAATTTAAAAAAAGAGAAATATCTGCCTAAAGTTCATCAGGTCTGGTTTCACTTGTTATTTTCCTTCAGTTAAAATCACGTAATCGTATATGCAATACATAATATTTTTAAAAATATTTGCAATATTATTCTACTTTTTAGAAATTATGTCTAGCTGTTTTTTGTTTCTGTGTATGCTAAAAGTAAATGAATGGTACTCAGCAAATAATGATTTAATTCTGTTCCATATTATGCTAGAGCTTCTACCCAGAGCAATAGATAAGAGAAAAGAAATAGACATTGAAAAAGAAAGAAATTTAAAAAGCTGAATTCACAGATGATATGCAGTCTTTGAGAAAATCCTATGGGATGTACAAAAAAAAGCTAGAATTAATAAGCTTAGCAAGGTTGAAAAATATGAGATCAGTATACAATTGGCAATTGCATTTTTATATACTTGGAATAAATAGCATGTGTAACATACATTTTCTTTCTTTCTTTTTTTTTTTAAATTTTTTAATTTTAATTTGACCAGAGAGGGACAGAGAGAAAAAAAGTGAGAAAGCAAGCCACCAGCTTTAAGACTCAAACCACAATCGACCATATCCTACCACCATGCCACCTGCTGACCCACATTTTTTTAAGAGAGGATTTTTTCTTTTTTTAGTTTTTTTGCCATAGGGCTTGTGCACTTGCTGGAGAGAGACACAGAGAGAGAAAGTGAGAAATCACCCCCTAGTGGGGATGATCATGCCACAGTCCCTTAACCTCCATTTTCTTCTTGGGATTTTGGGCACATATACACATATGTGCCTGGCTTAATTTTCAGATCACCAGGTCCAGAGCTTGAACTGTGGTCTCCATTGTGGGAGGTCAGCATCTTACCCACTATGCCACCTGTTGGCCCATAGAATAATCATTTTCAAAAGACTGCCGTGAAAGGGAATAAAAGGAAGAGAATAGCTAGTTTTATAATTAGGTTGGAGAGAGTGTGGTTTTAAATGTGGGAGAAGTTTTAGTATGCTTCTTGACATAGGCAAGAGGAAGAAGCTGTAGATACAGAAGGTAAAAGGAATGGGATAGGAGCAGAGTCTTGAGGGTCTAGGAGGAGTTGGGATCCAAGGTGCAGGTGAGGCTCCTCTTTCTCTGAGCCGAGAAAAAAGTGAGGTTTAGTACACATATGAATACACCCTGGGACCAAGGATAACAGAGCTTGTTCTCAAACCACATTATTTTTAGTGAAAATAGGAAAGTACTTTATTGAGGGAATTAGGCTAGAGGTGAGAGGCTTGCAATGAGTGATGAAAAGTTTAGATTGGCTACATTTGAGAAGAGAAGATTCTTATTAGCCATATACAAAAAGATTGTCAAGAAAAGCTTCTATCCACACACTTGTTGTGTAAGAAGCCTCCACAACTGCTGTTTTTCTGGACTAAAAGAAGGATTTAAGTTGGAGTTCTCGGTCACCAACTGTGCTGCCATTTCTAGATTTATGAAGTGGAAATCTTTAGGGAAAATCAGGATTTGATGAAAACAAAAGTTAGTTTATATTATACTGTTGCAGCTTGCTTTTTATATTTTTTTTGCTTTGTAATGTATCTTGGAGATCTTTTCATGTTCTTGTAATGTGTGTATATTGGTATTTCAAAGCATATATATCATAACTTATGTAACATTTTAAGTTTCCAGCTTATCACTATTAAATAATTGTTGTGGCATCCTTGTATGTCTATAAGGTTGTAGGTGGTTTTGCACATAATACAAATATTTTTGAGGTGGATAACCTAGAGTTAGAATTATTTTATCAAAGATTATGAACATTTTACATTTTGTTGCCTATTGGCAAATTATCATTCCAAAGGGTTATATCAATAGACTCCTACCACTTGAGATAATTCATCTCCCTATGCTAGCCAACAAGTGTTACTTTCTTTTGTTTTTGTCAATACTGTGACCAAAAAAAAATCTCCTTGTTCTAAATTTGTGTTTTTTCCTGCTAGTGAAGCTGATCATTTAAAAAATATAGGATATTTTCTGTTTCTTACATGAACTGCTCATTCTTATTCTTTGTCACTTTTTACCAGGTTGCCTTTAAATGTTACAAACCTTTTGTCTGTTAAATATGTAGCAGATGTATTTCCAGACTGTTAATTTCAGAACAAGTTTCAAATTTTGATGTAGTTTAAGTTCTTTCTTTCTACATAGTTGCCGGATTTGAGTTTACTTAGGAATGCCATCTCCAATTCAAGATTACTATTTCTCCCTAAAACTTGTATAGGTAGACTTTATTTGTATATTTTATGTTTAACACTTTAATCAATCCAGAATTAACATACATGAGATAGAGTACTATCCTATTAGGTGCAGTAACAAAAATACTTTAATGCAAATTATTTTCAGGTAAGTAATTCTGGAAAAATAAGAGATGACCCTTTTTGTTTTAAACAATAACTTCTTTTCAGTAAAATACATTTGTATGCCTGTTTGTGAAAGAGCTACATATTGTAAAATTCATTGTTGGGCAAATTTGCCACTTATTAACATTCTCATTACTTACATGAACCATTAACTTTTCCACCTAATAAATAATTAGTGGCATAAATATTTGTTTCTCAAATTTTGAACATGTTACAAACATGAAACATATAGATATCTGAAAGCAATTCATCCCTGTGGGTATTCTAGTTCATAGTAATGAGAGATCTTTTAAAAATTAGATGATTTGACCAACAAGTGGCATGGAGGTTAAGGTGACTGGATCTCACATGGGCCCAGCGAGGTTGAGTCCTGGACCCAGTGGCTTGAAAAACATGCCAGCGCATGTGTGTGCATGCCCAAAATCCTTAGAGAAGAATGAAGAAAGGATTGCAGCTAGCCATGCTCCCTCAGGGGAGCTTGCTTGTTTTCTTTCTCTCTCAGAGTGCATGTGCCCTATAGCGAAACTTAAAAAAAAAAAAAAAAAAAAAAAGAGAGAGAGAGATGATTATAGTAATGAGGAAACAGAAAGAATAGCATAGGAGGGGAATGAAAAAGAAAACAAAACGATCACTGAAAAGATAGGAAAACAAGAACAAAATAGAAAAAATGAGAAGTTAAGCTTTTGGTAGTAAGGAGAGTTTTATGCTATCCCAGACAGTCTTTTAAAAATTACCCTAGTGAAGCCAGCAGGTGGTGTGGTGGTTGAGGTGCTGGACTCCCACATGACTGACCACGGTTTTAATCTCAGATCTGGGGGGCTTGCTTTCTTACTTCTTTCTATCTCTCTCTGGTGAGCACATGTGCTCACCAGATTTAAAAATAGTAATAATCATAATGTATGTTAATAATTATTTTTAAAATTGCCCTAGGCCCCTTAAAATAGTAGTAGTGTGATTTTTCTTGTTTAGTTCATGTAGCTTTTGTCCTGTTTGGGAGATGAGATGAATTTGGGGGTTCTAGTAGGTAGTGGGTACCACTGTTTATGTTTTGTTTATTTTCATAGAGTATCAAATGTTCTCCTTTAAATGAGCTTGGGATTCTTACATTAATGGTTCTTCATTATTTCCTTTAGGCAGTTGAGAATTTTGAGCCAGCAACTTAGAGAACAAGAAAAAACTCATAAGGCATCTGGTTCTCTGGAATCTAACCTTGAATGTAGGTAAAAGAAATCTTTAAGAATTGATATTAAATTTGTTATGGCTCTGGAAATGTTGATAAAGGATTGATCTTTCTTAATCTCTTTGTCTAAGTAGATTTTCTTTTCTTTTTTTAAACAACCTCTTAAAAATAGGTATAATGGTCCATATTAAAAATAAAAATAGTGCAGAAACACACAAAAATAAAATATCTGCGCTATCACTTTCCAATAATCTTTCCCTCTTTTTTTTGGAGGGAGGGGAACATTTTATAACTGTTTTGTTTCACATACATATCCTCTGTCCATTTATAATTGATTTATTTCCAAAATATTAAATACTTGCTATGTTCCAGGCACAACTAGAACCATGTACATACTTTTTCTTTAATAAGATTGTACTACATAGTCTCATAACTTCATTAATTCACTTAATGTGCTTCTTTCTCTGTAAGAACTATTGGGTCATCAGAAAAGTAATGACATTTTTCTCTGTTTTTCTATGCAAAATTCATAGGACTTTTCAGGTGACCAAATAGTTGGATATTTTGCTTATACAGCTCTACTATAATATATTTAAGGTCCTCTGCTGATAGATATCTAGGTACTTTTCTCGCTTTCTCCCAATGCAAAGAGTGCTGCAATGAAAATCCTGGGTCTATGTCTTTGTGCACGTAAGTTAAGATTTTTGTAAAATAGATTTTTAAAGCAGTAGAATTAATAAGCCAGAGCATATACAGTTGTAATTTTGACAGACTCTGACAAGTTGTCCTATGTATTATAGAACTTAATAAAGGGAAAAAAACTGTAGTAATACTACAGGAAAAGATGAGAACATGTGTATGTGTGTGTGTGTGTGTATTTTTGGGAAATTTTCCTAAGCCTAACAAACACTTGAGATGTCCCAGAGCAACAGATTGCTGGAAATGCGTCCTCAGATTTTTTTTGATAATTTCTGCACAGCAAAGTTATAAATGCATTAAAAATTATCAACAAAATAGGGAAGTTTTTTGCATGTGTGACCTAACAAAGGCTTAATTCTCTCCATACACAAACACATATACACACACATATGCAGGAAGAAATATGAGGATCCAGCAGCAGGAGCACTTTATAGAAGTGTTAACTTCATCAGAGCATTTTCAGAAAAGATCACTCTGGTTCCACTGTGAACAGAAGGTGGGAGATGGGAATGGGGGAGGGTGAGAGAGAAGAGCCCAAGAGAACAAGTGGGGAGATCAGTGGTTGCAATGCTTAAGTAACTCCTCTCCTTTTATTTTCTGCCTCTTTATCTATTGTTTCTTTGAAAGCATTTATTAGTATTTACAATTACTTGTTTGTTTTCAGTTCCATGAGAACAGGGACCATGTCTATGTTGTCCACCTTCATAGAGCCAGATTCTAGTTCAGTGCCTAACACATAGCAAGTATTCACTCAAGGCTGTAATGGTGTATACTTGTATACAATACTTGTATAATGTATTAAGTACTGTATACTTGTATAGCCATGAAAAAGAATGTGATAGATAATAGATACATGTACTGATACATAAATCTTATGCAAAATAAAAGCAGGATTAGAAACTGCAGATATTGTATGATTCTTTTATGTTTAAGTGTGTATGTGTGAAAAAGTATTTTCCATAAAGATACCAAACAGTGTTAGCTTGGAGGAGAGTGCAAATGGGATAGGAGGGAGACTCTTATTGAGAATCATTTGGTATCATCAATTGGTATTTCGTGGTGTTTAAATATTTTTAATATGTACATGTATTATTTTTTAATTAAAATTTTTTTTAAAAAAGGGCCAGCTGGGGACCAGCAGGTGATGTAATGGTTACATTACTGGGTTCCCACATGGTCCGCCATGGTTCAAGTCCCGGACCTGGCAGCTTGAAATTCACATCAGATATGTGTGCATGGGTGTGTGGCCAAAATCCCAAGAGGACAATGGAGTAGAAGGGATTGTAGCATGGTCATTCCCCTAGGGGGTGATTTCTTGCTTTCTGTCTCTCTCTCTCCAGCAAACGCACACACCCTTGGCAAAAATCTCCCTTAAAAAACTTTTTTTTTAAAGGGTCAGCAGATTGTGTAGTGGTTTAGGTGGCTGGATCCCCCATGGCCAACTGCACAGTTTGAGTTCCAGACCCAGTGGCTTGAAAAACATGCCAGCTGCATGTGCATGTACATGTCTGCCCACAATCTTAAGAGGAGACTGGAGAAGGGATTGTGATATGACCATCCCCTCTGGGAGTACTTTCTCACTTTCTTTCTCTCTCTATCTTCTCTGGTGAGCGTATGTGTTCCATTGCAAAAACTTAATAAGAAATGTATATAATACCCAAATTATCAATGGTGACAAAAGACTTGACTTATGTTGGGAACCAGCAGTTAGCGTAATGGCTATTTCGCTGGACTCCCACGTAGTCGACTGCAGTTCGTGTCCTGGACCCGGTGGCTTAAAACTCACGCCGGGCGCATGTGCGTGTGTTCCCAAGATCCCGAGAGGAGAACGGAGGAGAAGGGATTGCGGTGTGACCATCCCCTCTGGGGGGTGATTTCTCGCTTTCTGTCTCTCTCTCTCTCTGTCTCTCTGGCGAGCGCACACACCCTATAGCGAAAACCTCTCCAAAAAAAAAAAAAAAAAGACTTGACTTATGCCAATTAAAAAAGAATACATTTAGTATTTATATAGAACTGCTCATGTGTTTATTTGTTAAATAAAACCAGGGAACTCCAAGCCATTCTTTTTTAGCAACAGATCTTTTCCAGGTTTGTACCTTTTTAACTGAAGAAAAAACTATTTGACTCATTTGTCTTACAGTGTTTTCTCTTCAGTCATTGAATATGTCACTGCAAAATCAGTTACAGGAGTCACTAAAGAGTCAGGAATTACTGCAGAGTAAAAATGAAGAGCTCTTAAAAGTCATTGAAAATCAGAAAGATGAAAACAAAAAATTTACGAGTATATTTAAAGACAAAGATCAAACTATACTTGAACATAAACAACAATTTGACATCGAGATAACAAGAGTTAAAATAGGTATGTATTTAGACTGTAGTTATGGTCATATTTTTAAAAAGGAATAAGGAAACTGAAACTTCTTTGTTTTAGAATTGGAAGAAGCCTTAGTGAATGTGAAAAACTCCCAGTTTAAGTTAGAAACTGCTGAAAAGGAAAATCAGATATTGGGAATAACGTTACGTCAGCGTGATGCTGAGGTGACTCGACTGAGAGAATTAACCAGGTAAAATTGACTTCCCCTTTTTCAATAATCCATGTCTTTTATTACTTATATTCATAAACTTCAAAATAATGTCAAACCTGCTCTTTCTCCTGTCATTTTCTTTCATTTTGTCAGTGTTTTTGCTAATTTCTAATGACATTTTTTTCTGTTCTAATTTAGTTAGTTTAGAAATGTCAAACCTAACTAAATGCTTTCTTAAACCATAGGATTCTAGGCAAAGTCTCTGATGAGGCACCAAAGACTTTTATACCAACGTGGTTAAGTTCCCTGAGAGATCTGAATGGCATCCCATCTCTGCCATGTATTAGTTGATAAACTTTGAACAAGTTATTTAACCTCTCTAAACCTCAGCTATAAAACGAGATCATGAATTGGGTCAGTAGGGGAACAAGAAATGACTCATGAAAAGCTCTTAGCATGGTAAGCCATCATACCATATGATCTTGGGTGACTCTGCCTCTTTGAGCTTCACTTTCCTTATTCTGTCAGTAAAATGAGGGAGTTGGCAGCAGCAGCTCAGATCCTTTTGTTTCCTCACTGAAATAAATTTATGTTCTGAAAAAAAATCTTACTCAATTTTTGTTATGATATACGCTTAGAAAGTTCAGGATTCTTTTGAGGTATTTGTTTAGGATTATATTTTCTACTGCTATTTAAAATCCTAGGTTATTTTATATCTGAAGTTGATTAGATCTGACCACGCCTTTGAATGCCTTAGAAGTTCATAGTTCCAAATGTAAAAGTCCTAAATACAAAGTAACATTTCTTATATTTCCAATGAATAGATCCATTTTGAATGGTAAATTTATCCCTCCCATTTTGAATTGTGAATTTAGGGAAATAGATAAATTAATTAATTTATATGTATGTGTGTGTGTGTGTGTGTGTGTGTGTGTGTGTGTGTGTGTGTGTGTGTGTGTGTGTGTGTGTGTGTGTGTGTGTGTGTGTGTGTGTGTGTGTGTGTGTGTGTGTGTGTGTGTGTGTGTGTGTGTGTGTGTGTGTGTGTGTGTGTGTGTGTGTGTGTGTGTGTGTGTGTGTGTGTGTGTGTATGTATATATACATAATACATATATACATATCTACACACAAGTATATAAAATATGTGCATATATGTATTTAATTTTATAAATTTTTGAAATTAATAATCTGTTAATATAGAAATATTGCCATTTTCTACATTTATATTTCATAGAATAATTACACGTAAACAGTAGGAAAAGCAAGACATTTCTTATGTCTATCTAGAATTATAACTTAAATGTTGATTTATAACCAATCTTGCTCAAAGTATGATATTCAGTAGAAGAGTGTCTTTTTATAAAAGCCTTTATAAAGTTTTCAAAGGAATTGTCTCCTCTTTTCTGAGAAGTAATTTAGAGTGAGATTTTTGTGTGAAGTATTTATGGCAAAATAAGCCCATAACAATAGGCTACATATTGAATGATTCCATTTATAGAAAATGTCCAGAATAGACAAATCCATAGAGACACAAAGTAGATTACTGGTTGCCAGGCACCTGGAGAAGGGGGAAACAATTGGGAGTGACTGCTATTGGGTACAGAGTTTCTTTTGGGGGTGATAAAATGTTCCGAAATTAGATAGTGGTAACAGTTGTACAACCATGAATATACTAAAACTGACCAAATTGTGCACTTTAAAGGGGTAAATTTTATGATATGTAAATTACATCTGAACAAGCTTTTTTTTTAGTATGAATGGTATACAGTCTATTTAAAAAAGAAAAAGGAACAGCAACAAAGGTCAGCAGGTCAGTGTGGCCAAGGGCCATGGGAGGTTGCTTAGGCAGTACTGCAAGCATCTCCTTCCTCATTCTAAGGGAGCATAGTTCTCAGCCACAAGCAGAAAATCTGATGAAGTGAAGGATCTAGTTCCCTGGTAGTTGGCTTTTCTGCTCACAATCTTTTTCTTCATACTGCTAAATTCAACTCATTTATGGATATGAAATTATAAGCTGATAGTACTGTAATTTTTTTCACAGTTCTCTCTTTCTCATATCTGTCATTTTATTTGCCCTCATCTGTGGAGGAAAGTGTTTTTGTTTGTTTGTTTTTTGTTTTTCTTTTATTTGCTAAAGGTCACATGCACTTGCTGGAGAGAGACATAGAGGGAAAGTGGGGGATGGTCATATTGTAATCCTTTCTCCATTATCCTTTTGGGATTTTGGGCATACATGCACATGCACCCGGTGTGTTTTTCAAACCAGTGAGTTCAGGACCCAAATTGTGCACTCACCAAGTCAGATCCAACTGCCTTAACCACCATGTCATCACCACCATCTGGCCTGGGAAGATTTTAATATCTGCATTTTCATAGATAGAGAAACTAAGGTCATACAGTGTAAGTATTACTAGAAGGTTAATAACAAAGCAGAAACTGTAACTCACATCTCTCCCACATGAAGTGACTTTAGTTAAAATAGTATATTTCATGTAACAATTCCATGCCCAATTTTTACATGGGAGATAATTGGATGGATTGATTCACTTATTCCCTAACAAATGTTTATTATATATTAAATTCCAAATATATGTGTGTGAAACACCCATTCACCCCACTTAATGATGGTGAATAAGTATTTAATGTGTTATTTAATTCAGTTTGCTGTTATGTGTTGAGGACTTTTGCATCTGTTTTTGACAGGAATATTGGAACATTTTTTCTTAGTGTTCTTAGTGTCCTGTCTAGCTTTGGTATCAGGGTAATGCTGGCCCATAAACTATGTCTGGAAAAATTCCCTCCACTTGATTTTTTTCTTAGAGTTTAAGAAGGATTGGTATTAGTTCTTCTTTAAATGTTTGGTAGAATTCAGCTGAGAAGCCATCTGGTCCTGGGCTTTTCTTTAATGAGACTTTATTACTGATTTAATATTGTTAACTCACTGTTGGCCCTTTTAGATCTGCTTCTTCAAGGTTGCATCGTCTAGAAATTTATCCATTTCTTTTAGGTTATCTAATTTATTAGTGTATAATTGTCCATGGTAGGTTTTTTGTTGTTGTTGTTTTTTGTTTTTAAAGAGGTTTTTGTCATAGAGCACGTGAGCTTGCCAGAAAGACACAGAGAGACAGAAAGCAAGAAATCACTCCCCCAGGGGGGATGGCCATATCACAATCCCTTCTCCTCCATTCTCCTCTTGGGATCTTGGGCACGCACACACACGCACGCAGTGTGAGTTTAAGCTACCGGGTTCGGGATTTGAACTGTGATGGACTACATGGAATTCAGTGACATAGCCATTACGCCATCTGCTATTCCCATTTACTATAGTTTTTTATGATCACTGGTGTTGGTGGTAATGTATCCTATCTTCATTTCTGATTTTCTTTTTCTTTTTTCTTTTTTTTAGAGGTTTTTGCCTTAGGATATATGAGCTCATCTGGGAGAGACAGAGACAGTGAGAAAGTGAGAAATCACCTCCTGTTGGGATGGCCACACTGCAATCCCTTCTCTTCCATTTTCCCCTTGACATTTTTGGCATGCATGCACACATGGCCTGGTGTCAGTTTCAGGCTACCGAGTTGGAGACTCAAACCATGGTCTCCTACATAGGAGTCCAACGATGTGACCACCATACCATCTGCTGATTCCTCATCTTTGATTCTGAGTGTTCTCTTTTTTCTTAGTCTAGCTAAGGGTTTCTTTTTCTTTTTCTTTTTTGAGAGGTTTTTGCTATAGGGCGCATGAGCTCGCCAGAAAGACAAGAGAGACAGAAAACAAGAAATCACCCCCCGGGGGATGATCATGCTACAATCCCTTCTCCTCCATTCTCCTCTCAGGATCCTGGGCATGCACGCACACATACCCGGTGTGAGTTTAAACCACCAGGTCTGGGACACGAACTGTGGTCGACTACATGGGAGTTCAGCGATATAGCCATTACACTAATTGCTGGTCCCTAGCTAAGGGTTTTTCAATTTTGTTTATCTTTTTCAAAAACCAACTAAACCAACTCTTAGTTTTGTTGATTTTTTTCTATTGTAATCTTTGTTAATCTCTTCTGCTAATTTTAGACTTAGTTTATTCCTTTAGTTCCTTGAGATGTAATGTTAGATTGTTTATTTGAGATTTTTTTTTAAAATATAAGCATTTATTATAAATTTCCTCTTAAAACTGCTTTTTCTATAACCTGTAAGTTTTGGTGTGTTTCCATTTTTACTGTACCTAATATTTTTTATTTCTTCTTTAACTCATTGGTTGTTCAAGAACATGTTTAATTTCCACAAATTTGTGAATTTTTCATTATATTTCCTATTATTGACTTCTAGTTTTACACCATTGTAGCAGAAAAGATATATGATATTATTTTATCCTCTTAAGTTTGTTAAGACTTGTTTTGTGACCTAAAATATGATCTCTCCTAGAGAATGTCCCCCCACGTGCACTGGATAAGGATGCTGTGTATTCTGTTACTGTTGGAAGGGAATGTTCTGTGTTTCTGTTAGGTCCATTTGGTCTAAAGTGTAACTCAGGTCCAGTGTTCCTCATTGATTTTCTGTCTAGATGATCTATTCATTATTGAAAGTGGAGTATTGATGTCCCCTGCTGTTAACATAGTGTATTATATTCCTTCAGATAATTTAACAATTACTTTATATATTTAGGTGCTCTGATGTTGGGTGCATATATATTAATATTTACACTTGTTATATCCTCTTGATCCTTTTATTGTTATATAATGATCTCCTTTGCCTCTTTTTACAGTTTATTACTTAAAATCTATTTTGTGTGACATAAGTGTAGTTACTTCAGCTGTTTTTTGGTTTCTATTTATATGTAACACCTACTTCTATCCCTTCACTTTCATTGGTTTTTTTTTTTTTTGAAAGGTTTTTGCTATAGGGAGCATGTGCTCGCTAGACAGACAGAAAGAGATAAAGAGACAGAAAACAAGAAATCACCCCCCAGGGGGATGGCCATGCTGCAATCCCTTCTCTGTTCTCCTCTTGGGATCTTGGGCATACACGCACATGCGCCTGGCATGA